TTTTAAAGGCCAGCCAAGTTTTATACAGGAATAAGTACAATATCACTGTATTACTGAAAGGATCTTGTTGATATCTTGCAATAAAGATTGAACATGGCAGAAAAATGCATATTTAATCTGCTCATCTGCTCTTACATAACTAAGGAACACCAAAATACTCACATGCTGAAAATGTAAAAGTTAGTATTAGTTCCTGTCTTCCAAAAGACACCTTGAAATTCAACCCCAGGATGCTGTATTTGTGAGTGTCCATAGACCATACATTATCTAGTTTATGTTTGATGGTGTTTGTGGGCCAGGGGCCAGGGGAGAAAGGCATTGGATAACTACTGAGTTTATGACAGTGAATGAGGACAGACTCCAAATATAGACTGAGATCAAGCCATAACCAGAATATCAAAATAAGTGCACCACCTAGTGGAAGGTTACCGAGAGTAACTTAATCAAGGATGGAAGATGAAAAACGCTACGGGAATGAAAAGTGGGATTTGAAGCTCAGTGGGATCTGATAGCACTCTCTATTTTTTAATAAATCATTGAAGAATTTTTGCAATAACCAAAACAGAAAGCATAGCCGAACTGTCCTAGACTTTAACTTCCTGCGGCCACATTCAGAGATTTTATATATACATAGTACACCTGAGAAATAGGAGTCCATCTGATAAAAATGAGAAGCATTTACATTTGATGGCCACATGGCTGGCAGTGGTGAATCCTAAGAATGAAGAAGATATGTTTTCATTTGTTAGTGATAGGCAGAGAACAGGACTGACCATCACGGCTAAGACGCTAATGAATAACTGAGCTGGCGATTCAGTAGTAAAGTTATTTTAAGCATTACTGCAGTAAGGTTACCAGGCTGAGGGTGTGTGTATACGCACACACGTGTGTGTATGTGTGTGTGTTACTATAAAGCAACAGATATAAACAACTAGGCTGAAGATTTTACCGCTGAACTTTCATTTTGAAACAAGAATTAGAGAAATCAAACCATAACAACAATCTCTTAGATGGCAGCTGTTGCTTCTGAGAACACTAGCCATCTGTATTCTACGTATGTAGCAACTTCCAAATTTTCAGTAAATGCTTATTGCAAACTGAAGCGTATCACAGAATCTAGATCTAGTAGAAACTTGTGAAATACCCCGGTTGGAGTGCTTCCTTTTATAGATGAAGCGCAAGAGGCTGAAGCAATTAGGCACACTGCTAATTCGTGGGCAATGAGAAAACTCCCATTTCCTGGATGATCAGGGCCTCCTAACTCTCAGAGAAGGGCTATTTCCACTCTGCTGAGAGGCCTCTTTATGCCTTTTAAGGGAGAATTAAGAGGATAAGACTCACTGAACCACACAAGCAATGAGAGTCTGGAAAGTCTTTGGAACCCAAAAGAAAAATAGAATAGGGTATTACTATTTCAAGGGGATCAACCTAACTGGTAAAACGTCCCAGTGACAGGCTTCTTAATCTCCCATGAATTGGCCCTGGCTAATAATAAGTCTGGCATTAGAAAGAAATGAAATATTATCTGACTTCTGAAAAATACCTTAAAGTTATCAATAGTCTTACCTTGTAAACTAAGGTCCTCATTGAGCAATGTAAAAACCAAACGCAATTAATGTGCAGAACTGGATATTGCAATTCAACCCTTTGAAACCATTTGAAAAGAGTCAATACAAATGTTCATGTGATTTCCTAAAAGGTCAAAATTTCTATTTATAAATGTAATTAGCATTTGTATACACCTTAAAAATCTTTGCCAATTTTAGTCTTCAGGAATTAACAAACTGTATTTTTAAAAAAGTCAAACAGCACTTTACCTGGCCATTTCATTCAAGTACCTCTCACCAAGCCATGTTTCCATGAGTTTGTATACATCAACCACCTTTGTTACTAAATCTTCAAGGAAAGCCAATGCTTTTGTCTTTATCACTTCAAGTCGGAACTGTGTAACTGTCTCTATTTAAAAAGAGGAATAAGGATTTTTAAGTTTATTATATGTACATGCATTTCCTGATGAACTGAATTCGATTTTAAACCAACCGCACCTCAATTGGTGAAGCTTTAGGCATACATTTAATATAATTTAATATACCAATATAGATAAGTAATACCTATCCATGTCACTGAGAAGCAAAATGTAATATGTGCTAGAGTCATTTGACAGTTTATTTAAACCAAATGTATAATTTGGCTGTACATGTCTTGTACTTTATAGCAATATACTCTTTGATAAATTGGAATGAAAAAGCACAAATAGATAATTTCCTAATTTCAAAGGGGGGAAGGGTACAAAGTCTCTTGATGAGCTCTCTACTTTAGAACTTGAAGATGGGACTGCCGTTGTCTTTCTCAGCATTGGAAAAAGGAGGGTCAAGCCTGTGTGTCCCAGGGCCTATTGCTGTCTCTGGCACACAACAAGGTCTGTGGATTGTACCTTCAAAATATCTTTTGAACCTTTCTTCTTTGATTTTCCATTGCTACTGGCCTAGTTTGGGTACAGATTATCTGTCATCTGAACTAGTACTGCAGTCGCCTCAATCCTGCTTTATGTAAATTCCTTGCTCCACCTCAAATCCAAACCCAGGTCCATAATCTCCAGAGTCACCTGTCTCAGCTGCACATGTGATCACAATCGCTCTTCTGCTCAGATTCTTTACGAGCTCCTGGTTGCCATGAGAGAAAATGTCACTTTCTTGGCAGGGACTATATGCCCCTCCCTGACGTGGCCTCCCCATGTCCCTGGTCACTCTTTCTTAGAATGTGCCTAAGACTCCTGAGCTACTCACTGCAGGTCATCTGTTGTCCCCTCCCATCCCTGCTGCATTTGTCCCCTGGGCTAACTTCTCCACATTCTTCCACTTCTGCTGAAGCCTTAAGTCACCTGGTGGGAAGTCTTTCTTGACCCCCCATGCACCCTTTGTCCCATAAACCAATCTCCAATATCACAGATTATCATAAGGAGTTGTTTGCATTTCTCTTCCTCCAGATTGGGTTTTATCTTTGTTTGTTTTGTGTTTGTGTATGTATGTGTGTGCATTTCCAGAAACTACTACAGGGCCTAGCACATAGTGGGAGCTCAGTAAATATTTACTGTTTGAATGAGGAAATTGAGGCACTGCAGGGATCACCTACTGAATGCACTGAAAGCAGAGGTGGGACAGGCAGTGAGGGCGGTGTGTCCAGCTTTTCCTGACCCCACGGATCCTCCCGTGTTCAATTTACTTCAGATTTTACTCTTGGGATTATGGAAGCAGGTGGTAGTAGGATGAGGGGAGGGGACAAGAGGAGAGAAACAAGGGATGGAAAGCACCGTTAATAACTAAGGGTCGTTGAGTAGTTAATGTGCCCCAGCTAACGCTATGCTGCAATTTTATGGTTTTGTCATCTAATATATTGACCACGGTTTCTTTCCAATTAGAATACTTTTGCTCAGTTTCCTGATCTTTTCAAATTCTACCTTGCATTGCATTATGAGACAACCTGACAAGCCAGAAGGAGACAGTATCATACAGTCCTTACCACATCCACAAAGAAGGAAGCCCTTGAACATTCTTGATCTGTGACTGGCTCTTCTATGGCCTCTGCTCCTAAGAACCCACTTTCAGGGCCTGTTCACCTTTGGACAGGGTTTATTTCTCTAATGAGCTGCCTACTTATTTTTATTATAATATAAAACCACCTACCTAGGTAGCCTCAAGCCTTCTTTCAACCTGTAAAAATATACCACCTCTAAAATATTCTTTTTTTGTTTCTATAAGATTTTAATTACTATGGGTGCTCTCCTAATCTCTTCTTCAACTCTCTGAGATCCTAGCAGACAGTCGTACAAGAGTCAAATCTAGTTTTCAAAGGGTCATATGGAAATGACCCACTGAATGCTGTACTTCTCATTCAGTTTGGTTTGTGTTCTGATAGACATCATTTGAGCTGGCTGTGGGCTGTTTGCCAACTGGTCTATTTCCTACTGAAAAGTATCATCTTAGTTCTTTCCAATTGCTACCTTCAAATTGCAGGGCAGCAAGATGCTCTTCTTTTATTTTGAGTCTCAGTTCATTTTCCTTTTCCATTTTGTCAATCTCCTCTGATGTTACCATCATAGGTGTGACTTCTGCTATAGGTGGTGATTTACCTGAAAGGTCAATGAAACATGCTGAGTAAACTTACAACATACAAGGGTACACACAGGGTACGTGGAGAAAATGAGTACAAAGTGAAAAGTGTGGAGCTATAAACCTCGAGTGATATTTGGAAATGAGAAGCACTGGTTCTGACAGTGTGAGTGATGAAGCACTGATAGTCTTTCCTTGAGACTTCTCCATGTGGTATCTGGGCTAGACGCGTATAAAAATGCCCCATTTGTGTAGCATCATGGGGAAATGTGGTGTGCAGCAAGTGCAGACAGAGTTACTGACACCAAAAAGGGTGCAATTCAGACTTTGGGGACAAAAATGAGGAAACCCCAAGATACCATGGATGCCATTAGCCATGGGCAGAAGTACAGTTTCTTATGGGTTACTTGTATTAGCCAAGTGTTTCCAAGGTCCTCATCAAGAAAAGACAGAAGATAACCTCAAGACAATATGGCTGGGATGTACCTGGTAGTCAAGAATCTGTAGTCTACGTAATTATCTTTTAACTAACACAACCACAAGTACTTCAGTGATTACATAAGAGAATTAGAAAATAAGAATTTATCAGTATTTGAGAATTTAGCAGTGTGATTCTCGTTGCAGGCCCAGTTTGTATAATTCTACTTAATTCAACAAATCATTCTAGAAGGCCTGACTTCAGAGGGTTCAAATATTTTGAAGAAGACATAAATATAAACAAAGAAATTGTAATGAGGTGTGTTAATTGCAATAGTGGATGTACGTATAAGTGACAGATGAAAGAGAGCTTAATCTCTCTGGGTTTCTGTTTTATCATCGGTAAAATGAAGACATTGGACCCAACTAATTATTCCATTAAAGTAAATTGAAACATTTCCATCAAATAACACATATATTTTAATTTTATCATTTGCGATGGAGTGTTCTCTGTTATGGTGCATACTCTTCCCTTTGCTTCAAGTGCCACCATCTTCACTTCACCCACTACCCCTTTCCATCCTCAGGGCTTTGTCTTAACTCCTACTTATGGCTGCTTAAATGTACTCCATCTGGGAAGTGTCTGCTTATCCCCTCAGGTGGAGTGAGGTGACCTCGCTCTCAAGGGACTTGTGCCTCCCCTACCAAAGAGCAATGATTGGTCAAATGTCTATCTCTGCTGCTAGAGTACAGGTCTACAGGGTGGGGACCATGTTGGGTTTTTTTTTTTTAAGTTTATCATTGTGTTCCTAACACTCATCATAGTGTGTTTCACATAGAAGGTGCCTAACAAATACTGTGAGCAATTGATGAAAGGCGTGAGTTTTGCTCATGTCCTTCCATCTCTTCCTCTCTTGCCTCAAGTCACTTCAAAACCATACAAGTGCAAACATTCAGAGGGGAGGATCACATTTGTGGCAGAGCTTATCCCTGAGGTTAACTGGAGGTCTCTTTCAGCCTGAGTTTTCTTCCCTCTTTCCATTGTGCCTCTGAGGCAGAGATTTATACAGGAGGATTCTAGGAGAGAAGGAATTGCTTGAATAAAACCTGAAATTTGAATTAAACCTTAAACTTACATATCTACTGGGGGTGCCAAAAAATGTAGACGAGTGGACACTTTGGTCATCATTGCTCAGGCAGTAGTTTGCCATAATCAGAAGTGTCTGGACGCTGATGGTAACCACTTTGAGCACCTCTTGTAATTGCAGAAGTCAAATGTGACTTGTATTCATCTTTTGTTATTGATATATATTGAGTATTACAATTTTAATAGTTTTCTGTTCTTAAAATGTGTATACATTTTTTTGGCACCCTCTGTATATACAATTGACTTTTAACCTGCTCTTATTTACTGTAGCAAGTGTCAGCCCCTTTGCACACACTTTTCAGATTACATAGTGTCACCTTGGAGTTCTTTTAACATGTTCAAAACTGTTCTTGAGGTTAATTTTACCCTGGATATACTTGGCTATTTGGATAAACAAGTTAGGTGGGACTGGTATGCAATATGATTTGCCAAGTAACACCATGGTTGACAGAAGCCTGGGTCTAGAAGTTAAACCTAATGAACAGCATTCGAGTGTCTTAGAGGCCACTGTGCTTGGTTAAATGTTGGTTTTCTACCAAGGAGAACCTTAAGCATCCTTGGTTCTGGATGTTAAAACCATGAGTACCTTTTCCCTTTTTGTCCTCTTTTTTCTTCTTGGGAGGTTCCTTTTTGACTTTCTTATTTGCACCCATCTGAGGAGATTTTTCTTTTGTTCCTGCTAGCTGGCTTTCTTTTTCTTCATCCAGGAGCCTCTGATGAATTTCAGCAGCCACCTGGTTGTATAAGAGCAATATTTCAGGTAAGGCAACATTTATGCAATACAATAACCATTGGGATTTAGTCATCAAGCGATTCCACTGAAGCCTCATTCCACTGCAAACAAGTGTGCCATGTATTCAGTCTTTACAGAACACACACTTTGATGTTTTACTTAAAGGAAAACCTGGCCCTGTCCCAAGATGTGACATCCCTGTGACATCCCTGTGGCCATCGGTGTGCATGCGGCTCACTTCCCCAAGCTGTGCTTGCAATGAATTCATCCTTATGTTTCCACATTGCCACCTCCAGACTGTGACAAATTCATGGTCATGTGAAAATTTCTTCCTTTATAGTCTCAGAAGCTATGGGTTTAACATCCCTGTTCTTCCAACTTCCTGGTATCTCTTGGCCTTCGATCTGGGGGTAATTCCCTGTATCAGTGTTCCTCAATCTTTTTTTTTTTCTTTCCATCATTGACTCGCTATGGAGTTTTTGAGACAGCTTCTCCCAATCACATCCCTCTCCCTAAAGTCTTTTTTTTTCTTCTTCTTCTCTTTTCTTTTTCTATTTTTTTTTTTTTAGTTTCAGGTGTACAAAACAATGTAATAGTTAGACACTTCGCCCCTTACAAAGTGATAATCCTCCTCCCCCAATCTATTGCCCCCCTGATATCATATGTATCTCTCCATGAAGTTTTTTTTTTTTTAAGATTTTATTGGGGAATTGGAGGAGGGGAAGTGTTGGGGAACAGGGTAAGGGGAACAGCCATATTGTTGTCCTTCAATCTTAGTTGTGGAGGGCACATCTAGCTCAGCTCCAAGTCCAGTCCCAACGGCAGCTCGCTGCCACTCAGCTCAAGGTGCTGTGTTCAATCTTAGTTGCGGGGCTGTGCAGCCCACCATCCCATGCAGGAGTCGAACCAGCAACCTTGTTGTTAGGAGCATGTGCTCTCACTAGCTGAGCCATCCTGTTGCCTGTTGGCAGCTCAGCTTGGACGCAGCTCATTGGCCCATGTGGGAATCTAGCCAGCAACCCTGTTGCTCAGAGCTCGCACTTTTAACCAACTGAGCCACTCGGCTGGCCCCTCCATGAAGTTTTAATACTGCAGAAGAGATTGTATCTTTCTATATATTTTATCTGTGCTTCATACATAAAATGGGTGAGAATTTTTCATATTTTCCACACAATTGTTGGGAGTCCATGCCCTATATCTGTTGGGTTCGTGGACACTTGAACCCTGGGCTTCCATTCTACTCTAACTAGACATCATCCCAGGAAGGTGCAATGTTTATGAGGATGACCTGTCCTGCAGGCTAGCCTCATTGTTGCTTCTTAGCTTCCTCTGCTTAGGGGACTTCGAGCTTCTCTCCGTGTCAGCAGCCCCCTCCTTTCATTCTTACGAGTATTCTGGTTTGAGAGATTAGTTCTGTGGCCACCCCACAATAGCTGATGAATGGGGGGGGGGCACGGTGCTGCCAGAAGCCCTCCATCTCTCCTCTGAGGCTGGCTCTGTGCTTCAGGCAGCAGGAAAACCTTGTCTTGGGGCTTGTGCAGCTGGGGCCATGCCTACAGTTAGAAAGATCAGGTCTTCTGAGCTAAGTCCAACTGTCCCAGGAGAAGTGAAGGGCATTTGTGGGTGTAACCCTAAGAAATGAGAGCCGAAAAAAGACTCCAAAAGGAAGAAAGGAAAACCTGCACACACCCTGGAGGCAGGAGCTACACGTGGTTCAAAGTTTTAATGTCTCAATAAGGCAACTGGTGAGGAAATGGTGGTCCATGGGGATTTATTTATTTATTTTAGTGCTTACTGTGTCCAAGCCTGATACCATTTCTGGGGAGAACTGGGTGAGAGGAGGGGAGGGGAGACAGGAAGCTGGGTGGAGGTGAACAGAAAGATGAATAAGGCACAATCTCTCTACCCTCAAAGAAGCTCAGTCTTGGGGGGTGAGATAGACCTGCTAATTCTTGCCTTCTCCAAATTCCTGCTACACTTCATACCCCATGGCTCGGCATATAACTGTCCCCAACTGTTCTGTGAGTGCTAAGAGTCGCCCCGCACTTCAAATGGGCTTTAAGGCTCCCGCGAGCTGAGCCAGTCCCACCTCTTGGTATTCTCCATAGCTTGTAGCACCGTGCTATGCTCATAGAGAATGCCCAAGAAATGCTTAGTAATTGATGGAATTTCTCTTAAAATAATCATATTCCACAGAAGACACCCACAGCTTCTTCAGTATCAGCAGAACTGTGGAGGGATACAGAAAGGTTTCCGAGAGCAAGCTAGTATTGTGTGGTGGTTTTTTAAATCAGATGTGCTTTAGATGAAAAATGGATTTCATGATAGATGCTGTACTTCCAAATTCTTGGTAAAGCTGAAAGCAGACTTTTTAACAGTCCCGCCTAAATTGCAAGCAATTCATTTTGAATCTGTTCTTGCAAAGCGCAGTAAATTAGCAATTTCCTTTAAAATTGGATTTTTCTCCCTTGTAAACAACCTTGTGTTGGTGATGATGATGATGATTACCACCATCTGCATTTTTCTGTCCACTTCCCCCAAAGACCTTTGGGTCTTTCTCAAAAAAATTAACGTATTTCACAAATACATCTAGCAATCCAACCTCTAAGACTGAAGAAACTACAGAAATAATGCCTCGACATTGTGGGCATTAACTATGACTTGTTTCTTTGAATCATGGCATACCTGCTAATTAGAAGAAAGTTTTGCTAAAAATTAACATCACATAGTAAATGGATAGCTCCTGGTAAATTGCCATGTAGAAGAAAGCCTGTGTTAAAGTGCTCTCATTCCAGTTGCACTAATCTCAGCTGTATTGTTTCCCATGCAACCATTTCCTGAATCATGCCTGTCTCTTGCGGAACTCAAAATTTCCTTAAGGTCATATGACATCAAAGTCATATAAGTCTATCAGAAACATAAAAGCAGGATTCAAATATAATTATGAATAATGTCAATTACTAAACAACCCTTTCTCCTATGTTTTCTATGTGGTTTTTGAAGGTCCACAAGGAAAACAGTACGATTTTGAATGGATTTCTTAACATAATGATCTATTTTATTTATAATTTCTAAAGCACTTTCATATACATTATTTCATTAAATCTTTTCAACCATTCAAGAAAGGAAAGGTAGGTAGAATGTCTTCCATGTTACCGATAAGGAATTAACTCAGATTTTCCTAAAATCACATAACTTAATCAAGAGGGGTAGCCAGTGCTCATTGTGTTGTATGATACTCTCTTTCTAATAATGTTTTAGAAATTCAAAATGTCTACACATCATATTTTGAAATGTCATTTCCCTCAGGTAATGTTAATGGGACTCAGAAGACTTGTAAATTATGTTTACATAGCTGAATTGATAACAAAAACAATAATTTGTCTTTTTTCTAGAATTCTTAGATCTAGTTCCCCACTCGCAGGTGCTTGGTAGCTATGGTGGTCTTAGTGGTAATCATCACTGTCATTGGCATCATCATGAATATTATCATCAGTGTCATTAGTATATCAGGAGCAGCATCTCAAGACTGTCTTTAGGGCTTAGTAGTAGGTTAAATGTAGGCATTATGCTATGTGTGGGGTGCATAAAAAGGATTAGAATGTTGGTATATATTCAAGAAAATTACAAATAATAATCTAGATTATAAGAGTGGGAGAGATGATAAGTGGTACAAGGATTGGAAGAGCACATGATCCCAGAAGGCTAGGGCTTCAGGCAGGAGGCAACCCACTGGTCAGGAATCAAGGTAGGAATTAGTTCTGAAGACTTAAAGCAAGTACAGGGTTTAAGCATATATAAGGAAGGAGGAGTATAATTTAGGAGAGAAAAATGGCATTAGCCAAGGTGTTGAAGTGGTGGAGCAGACAATAACTAGTCAATTTATGAGAGGGTTTGATGAGGTGGTACCAGCCGGGATGTGGAATTCTGAACCTCTCGGTCAAGTGTTCAGGATTCTATGCTTGCTATTGGAGATCATCACACCACCTCATTCCCCTCGTGGGTCAATAATGGAATATCATTTCTGTATTCTTATAAATATCAGTTAATCATTTTCCTTTATCTGGATCATTTTGCTCTAATTAATATAATGTGGTTGTAGGTGTATTTGGGGTATAAATCTACCATCTTACTGTGTGATTTTTATTTGTATTGCTTGTCCTGAATCTTTTTTTGTCCTATTTTTTCTTATTTGGAGTATATACTTAAAATTATTTAATCTTGGTTACTATATAAATAACACCATGAATTACTGACTAAGGAATATTTAGATTTTGATGAGTTAATAATTCATGTATAATTCTTAGGGTAGACACTGAGAGAATACTAATAGAATGCATTGCTTATAAACTTACAGAGGGGAAAAAGCAAGAAAGAAAAGATACAGAAAGGTTGAAAATAAAATAAATGAAAAACGATATGTAAACAATATTCAAAATTATAATTTACAAAAAAAGCATTATAAAGATTACCTGATAAAAATAAAAGGTTCTATTCACCAGAAAGATTTAACAATTTAAAAATTGCACATACCCAATTTCATGGCCTCAAATATACATAAAGCAAAAATTGACAAAACTATAGAAATTAATAAATCCACTCTCATAGTAGGTAATTTTATCATACATCTCTTGATAAATCAAAAAGGAAAACAAATTTAATAAGGATAAATAAGATTTGAACAATTATATATAATTATTTATGCATATTTAAAATATAACTATATAATAAATAAAATAATAAATATATAAATGTGTATATATAAAACAATTATTGTGTATGTATAATATATATTATATGTTATATATGTTATATGTTATATATATAATATATAGAGACATATATATATAGACACAAAGGAATATATACAGAGGGTGCCAAAGAAATGTATACATATTTTAAGAAAGGAAAAAACTGCATTAAAATTGTAATACTCAATATATATGGATAACAAAAGATGAATATGAGTCATGTGTATACATATTTTTGGCACCCCGGTATATCTCAAAAACACACAGAACATTTCCAAAACTGACCATAAAGCAAATTTCAAAAAATTTACATGAGGGCATCCTCTGATTGAAATGTAATTAAGCTGAAAATCAGCATACTATTTTGAAAATTAAAAATATACTTTTAAAATGTTTTGCACTGGATGATAACAAAAATAACATCATATCATTTTTTTTGTTTTGTCTTGAGATAGAGTTAAAGCAAGCCACAGAGGGGGAAAAAAAAGAAAAGACGGGGGAAAAAAAAGACTGAAAATGGACAAACTATCATCCATCTCAAAGCCCTAGGGAAGAATGGGACAATAACTCCAAAGAAAATAATGAAGAAAAAAATAAAATTAAGAAGAAACAAAGAAAGTAAAGTGAGTCAATGAAGTTGAAAGCTATTATTTGAAAAAACTGATATAATCAATAAAGTTCTGGGTAAGCTGATCAAGAAAGGGAAAAAGCATAAATAATCAGCATTGAAACTGGCCAAGGGGACATCAAGCAGGTACATTAAATAGAAAATATACTGTGTTATATCAACACAAACATAAGAGGATATTTTAAAGAACTTCATGCCAATGCATTTAAAAATTTAGAAATGAAAAAATTCCTAGCAAATTAAACTTACTCAAACCAACCCAAGTTTTTTTTCCAAGAAGAAGTGGAAAATAAAAAGTATCCTATACTTATTAAAGAAAATGAATCCTTGGATGGAGGGAGTAACAAAGCACTTCCTACTAACTTCTTACAAAACTAGAGGCCTAAATGGCTTCTTAGTCAATGCTACCAAACATCTCAAGAAGGAAAATTCCAACTTCCACAAAACCTTCCAATGCTATATTTCCCAACTTAATTTGTAAGACTAGTATTACCTGGATGCTAAACGTTAACAAGGACAATATGAGGGAAAAAAACTACAGATTTTTTCTCACTCATACACAAAAGTAAAAAGTCCTAAACAAATTAGGAAAACAAATCCAGCAATAGGTAAGAGGGATGGTGCTTCATTTCAATGTTGGATTTATTCCTTGAATGTGATGAAAGCTTAACATTAGAAAATCAATCAATATATTTCACATTAACATAAAATGTAGAAAAATCATACGATAATCTCAGTAGATGCAGAAAAGGCATTTGATAATACAATTCATAAAACAAACAAACAAAAAAACCTCATAGTAGGCTAGAAATGAAATGACATTTCCATAATCTGGTAAATACTACCTGAAAAAAAAATCTATAGCCAACATTTTCATGAATCTTAACAAACTGATTTGAAAATTTATATGAAAAGGCTAAGAGCCTAGAAGAACCAAAATGCTCTTGACAGATAACAAGGTAGGAGCATTTGCTCATCCAGATAACAAATAAATGGTATGATATTGTGTGGTTTGGGTACAAAGATAGACAAATAGACAATGCAGCTGATCTAATTTATGATATGTGGTCACCTAGCTTATGACAAAGGTAATACTATAGTGAAATGAGGAAAGGATTTTAGTATTACCTGTGAAAGCCGAAGTAGTATGTATAGTATTATCTGCTGACATTGAAGACAGCACATACTCCTAGATACATACTTGTTATGGGTGCATATGAGCACCAGTGGACACATACAAGAATGCTCACAGCGGCAGCATCCATAGTGGCACCAAGCTGGAAGCCCAAATGTGTCCCAGTAGCAGACTGGTTCAATGAACTGTGATGCATTTATATAATGGAACACTATACAGCAACAAAAATGAGCAGAATACAGCTACACTCAAGGGGATGGGGTGAATCTCACAAACATTGTTGAGCAAAAGAAAGCCCAAAGAGACAAAAGGTGTGAGTCCGTTACTTAAAGCTCAAAGCAAGCAAAGCTAAACTATGCTGTTTAGAGGTATAGATTTGAGTAATAAAACTCTTAAGAAATTCAAGGAAATGATTACAGGCAATATGGAAGTTCCCTTTTACGGGGATGGAGGGGGTGAGGGCTGGAAAGGGGCATAAGAAGGACGTGGCAGGCACAGACCTTTGCATTTCTCCCTGGGTGGTGGTTCCCTGAGTATGTACTTTGGGTGGGCTCATTAAGCCAAGCAATTATATTTTCATGCATTTTTTCTTATGTGTGTCAAAATGCACACTAAGATAGTTTTAAAAAGAAGCAAGACAACGAGAGGAGTTTATGTTCACTTTTGAGAGGGAGAGAAGAAAGAAGTAAGGAGAATAAAAAAGAGAGAGAAGGAGCAGAGAAAGGAGGCACTGAGGTTGCTGAGAAAAGAACCGTGGAGGCAGAGGCCAGAAAGGGGCTTGGAAAACGCCCAACGAGGCGCTGATTGCTCACTGTGAGACTGTGATGCAAACCCCTTTCTACCTCTTTCACCAAATCTTTTGGAAAGTTGACTATGCTCTCTGTTTGAATGAACTATTTCAGGGAAACTCAAAGAAGGCGTGGCACAAAATGGAGATGGATGCTGGGGGATGAGGGAACAGTGGTCATCCGAGTTAAACTCTATGTGCCTCCTGTGTGGGGTGAAACCTCTGTTTAGACCAAAGTTATCTGTATGCTGTTCCTTTCTCCTTGATTGTGGTACAGACTCCTTGCAGACAGGGGCTATCATCTCTTCACTTCCCAGGGAAGGTGGAAAGGACATGGAACTTTGAAGTCCTGTAGGCCCAGGCTCAAGTCCCATCTCTGACACTTACCTGCTGAGTGGCCTTGGGCAAGTTTCTTAACCTTTCTGGATTTTAGTTTTCCACTGTAAAGAGGATAATAATACTTATCCCATAGGTGACTTACGTAAAATGCCTAGCAGAAGTTTTAAACTAGAGGCCTGTAAGGCAGATATATGTTCTGCTTGGCTCTGTAATTTTTTTTTAAATTTGATTTTATTTCTAACATGTTAAAATCAGTAGGTTTCACATAAAAAATCTCAATTTCTGTTTTTTCTTGTAAAATTGGAAAATCTGGCCATATTGGGCCTCATTCTTAAATGACAAGGATTGGGTAGGGCTGAGCAGCACATACCTCTTTAGAAGGGGTGTGATTTCAACTTGGACACAGTCCCTCCCCTGCCATTGCCTCATACTTGACCTCCCCCACCCCATGGTATTTCCTGATTGGCCCTTAGACCCCTGCACTTGGAACTTTGCCTGGTCCAGCATAGAAAATAACGTAAATGTTGGTTCACCTTTCTTGATCTTATATATTTGCTGTTGGAATTGTTCCACTTTCTATTTCTTTCAGAAAAAAAAAATGGAAGCATAAATGTATACAATGCTTACGAACATTGTGTAAATTTTTTACCCATGACATATTACCAACATTGATACTTAATGAATGGGTATTACTGAAAAAAAATATAAGAACAAGCATGGCTTACCATTTGAGATATTGCTGAAGAAGTCTGCTGCCAGGTGTCCATTACCAGCTTCTCATCTGCCTCAAAGTTTAACTCTATTTTTTCTAGTGAGTAATCGATCTTGCCCTTCAGTATGGTTTTTGGTTTGGGTCTGGATATAGTTAAATCCAGAGAGACAGATGTTCGAGAAACTAGAGGAATTCTTCAGAAAGCAAACAGAAAAAAAAAAGAGAAAGAAATAGAAAGATTTTATTTAACAGAACTCTATTTTCGTGACCATGTTACTTTGTGAATTTTGTTGTCTTGCTTTAATCTTAGTTTTCAGAGTTTTCTTAGAAGAATTTTTTAAATGGAGCAGATTGTCAAAGACTGTATTCAAAATTTTGTGGTCTAGAACATCTTAAACACAAATGGAAACTAGAAACAAACAACGACAAAACATAATTTGTGGTTACACACTCAGTAGTTGTGAGGAAGGGGATTAAAGAATGGCAATTATAAGCAAATAGAATTTTGAAATTTATCCAGGGCATAAACTTCAGACAAGGAATAAATTGGTCATGAAAAAGCAAACCACATAAGCCTGTGTATCACTTCTTTAAGATGACTAATGTTGGCTTCCTGAAATGGACAGTTAAAAAGCACGATGTGACAGATGTGAGGTCTGCGAGGGGGTATCCCAGGAAGGCAACAACGTTTTCGCGGTGGGCGGGGAAGAGCTGTGGCAGCCTCCCCACTCATAAGTATGGATGATGAAGGCTGTCTCTTCGTTTTGTAAAGTGCGGTGAGAACACAGGGTTAAACTCTCCCTCCTCCTTCTCTCAACCATAGTGCTCCCCATGTAGAAATTTCAGAGCTGCCCTTGAATATTCTATCCCCTAAGGATTCCAGGGTCTCAAAGGCTAACAGAGGTAGGAAAGATCCCACCAGGCAGAGGGATCCACCTCAGTGATAGAAAGTGAGAAGAGCTTTCAGCTTGGGCAAGCAATGGGGACAGAGGAGCTCCAAGGATGCTTTTGCTGAAACTTGTGGATGAGAGTCGGGAGCAATAATAGGAACAAGCGTTCGGTTTGGCAGACTCAAGTTGCTGGGAAACAGAGACATGATTCAGAAAGCAGACTGTGAACCCCAGCGAATAATCAGCTGGCCTTGTTTTGAAGCAGCAGGCGAGGTTCCTTGAACTGTGCTTGGACTTGATTCTTAGAGTGCTTGGAATCCTGACACCCTACCTTGCCTGCAAAGGCAACGTGCTGAGCATCTCCTACTCAGCATACCTCCACCCACAAGGGCAATTTACATTTCAATACTCAAGTGATGTTCAGTCTCAGTCAGAGACACATGAAATACATGTGACTAATAAGCTAAGGTGAAGGTTGTATGATCATCTCTAGATGTTCAGTATAGAACGTGCATTTCCCAACACCTTGCTTTCGAGGACAGCAGTGAGAGGCCCATCATTTAGAAAAAGAATTTCAGTTGAGAATTCATTTACTGGGAAACGCCCTGTTCTAGCTAGCTCTGCCACCATCAGTAGATATGAGCTGGGGCATGTCACTTGACTTTCTGAGGCTCTGTTCCTACAGGAAATACACAAATATAATAATAGCACTATTATTGTTGCTAGTTATTAGTAATTACTAATTATTAGTTATTAACTAATTCATAGTTATTATTATTAGGTCATTGAAGGGATAAAATAGACAAGCTGTATGAAAGTGCATTGTGCTTGTTTCCCTATATGTTAGACTGCGGTTGATTGGTGGGTTGGTTGATACATTGATTGACAGAGTTCCAGTAGATACGCACAGCAGTGATGTGAGGCTGAGACTGGAGCAGAGTTGTTTTGTAGAAAATAAGAACTGGCTGTTCTTTTGCCTGTTCCATTCTACTAACCAACATTAATAGTTTCCCCATTATGCCTGACTTGCTATTTTGTGCTAAGAACAGAATGTACTGCTACTGTAGACATTGAAACTTGGCCTCTTTTGATGGCTCTTGTGGTTAATACTGCCTTTGGAATTTTTCATTGTTTTTAATTTAAAAGTTCTCTTCCAGCGGCTTGCTAAGTTAAACATTTCTCTTGTATTTGTATCAAGAAGAGGGTGCAAACTTTCCTTCCTGTGTTTTCTTGTTTACACATGGGCCTGACAAGGACATGATGGGAAGAGATGGAAGAAGTCTTGAGAGAGAAGAAATGGTCCTCATATCACTGCATAACCCTATTGTGTCCAGGTCATTTCAAATCCTTTCCGGAATAAGGGAGGGGAAAACAAACAAAGCAAGAACATACAATACTCACAATTAAAATAGTGCATGCAAGGAAGAATAATTCATTGTCATATTATGCAATATTAATAATAGTCACCACTTAATGAGAATTATTGGGACTAGATGTCAGGTTTTCTGATTCCCAAATATGGTACTAAGTGCTCTGAGGATTTCATTGTCCATGATCTTCATAACAACCTTACTTTACAGATAAGCAAACCAAGGCTTAAGAGAGTTCCAAAACAGTTAAATTGCCTTATTTGCATAACTAGTAAATAACAGACCCAGGACTGAAACCAGACTTCAAAGCATATTCACGCCTGCTACTCATATTGATTGAGCAAGCTTGTCAAATAAAGTACATACACTACTTTCAATCTACAGTACATAGCTTATCTCCTTGGAAATTTAATGTTTAATGCCTGTATGTTATTTTAAAAATATAACCTGTTTTTCTCCTCTTCTCATCTACAGTTTATTTTCTCATGATCTGCTTACCGGTCATGAGACAATGTTATGTTAATTCTTACTTCTAGTTTATTAAACTATTTTTTACTAATTTATATAATTTAAGGATTTTGAATTTTATTTTTTACTACTTTGTTTTCTTACTGTTTGCTCTCTTTTAATGTTTTATAGTTGGGACCACATCACATGGATTACCATCACTCCCACATCCCATTTCTTAAAGATATTTTTCCATCTGTTCATGGCTTTTTCAGGGTTTGAAATATTGCTTCTCCTTGCCCCCACCCACTGGGTCTATAAAAACAATTATTTACAAACCTTTCATATTGTACAGGAGAGTTTGGCTGAAAATATAATTTTTGTTCCACCCTTAACACCAAATTAATTTTCTTGCTGGCAGGAATCTGATGTTAGACTGTTAATAAGTCTTTTAGTCTCACAAAGTCATGATCTCATATGACTGAGTCTTTACTGTTTCTCTTTACTGTGAAAGAAGACTCATAACCCCTTCCATTTTCTTTTACATGATGAGAGAGAGAGAGAGAGAGAGAGAGAGAGAGAGAGAGAGAGAGNGAGAGAGAGAGAGAGAGAGAGAGAGAGAGAGAGAGAGAGAGAGGGAGAGAGAGAGAGAGGGAGAGATTTGGGACCTTTCATAAAGTGGTAGAGGGGTAGAGGTTCACAATTTCTTACTGGAAACTCTTGGGGTCAAAAGTGTTTCAGAATTTATATGTACAATATATTCCCTAATATCCCCAGCAGTCTGTTGAAAGTGCTTCTTAACAAAACACACTATACCTCTGCAGCAAAAATGAGTAAATATTCATTTTAAGTGGTATAAATAATGCATATCATTAGTCTTAAGTTGAAGTTAGAAAAAAATGTCATGTTTTAGAGCTTTTTTGGTTTTGGATTTGCAGATACAGGCATATGGTTTTGATTAGTGGTATTCAGTTTCAAATCACAAAACTTTATGTTCAAACCAATTACAGTGCAACATGATAGCCTGCCTTACCTAAGCTGACTTTCCAAAATCTCTTTACTATCCATTTGGACCAACGGGATACGAGTAAATTTCTTATTGTCCGCTGTTGGGATTTTGCATTCCATTCCCCTGTAATAATCTTGAAGGAATGTCTTTGTATCTTGGAAACGGTTCAGTTCTGCCTTTAATAGCAAATATGAATATTAATACCCAAGAAAAAAACAAGCAGATCTGTACATATTTTCCATATAAACTCTGTGCATACTATTTTAAAACATTTAGGTTTTAAATCAATTTTCTGGAAATTAAAAAAGAGCATTGGCTACAAGTGTATATGTAAAATTTCATAAAAATTAAAGAAAACTGGTGACTCTCTTCCCTGTACTTATTGAGTATGGTTCCACTTAACAAGATGACATTTCTATGTCTCTTGATATTGTGACAAAGGATTGTATGACATCTGAAGTAGTGTATATTATGCATTATTTTGACAGTAAGAATTTTTCCTGTGTCTTGTATTCAATCAGTTAATATATTAACAAACACTTGAGTGTCTTCTTTCATAGGTAACATGTTCATTGATTTGAGAGATATCAAAAACATTATACATATAAATACCAAATACAAATACAAAAAACTGAAATGCAAAATAAGACTAGGTTTTGGTCCTCTAGTTGTGGAGAAATGACAAACAGTAAGGTGAAGTGATAATGAATTGTTCTCTTTTTTACAGTTTCCATTCTTGCTTAATATGTAGGGTGGGGAGATCACTCCTCTATGCTCACAGCAAAACCCCTCCGCTAGCCTTCAGGGAAATGGAGAAACAAAGAGGACTTGGTGGCAAGGTGAGCATCAGTTATTCACAAGTGACTCCCTGTCAGCCAGGTCATTTCCCCGTTGCAGGAAAGATGAAATGCATGCATAGTGAGACCCCGCGCAGTACCAACACACGAATGTAGACCATGAGTTTTCCAACCTGTTCTCCCTTTAGGTATTAGACCAGCTGGCATATCTGTGCTTCTTTTTGGTGTGTAAACACGACCTCCAGACTGTGCTTTAGTTAGTGGGGTTACTTAAACCAGTACCCAAGGGCTTAAAGATTGAAGCTCTTATGCACATGTATTCCATGATAGCTAGTTAATTATATAAAGTATCTTCCCGAAAAAATAACAAAACTGACCTAGTGTTCAAAACCCTCAGCTAAACCTAACCCAAGGGTATGTATGCAGCAATCTTATATTTATTAAGCAATTAATATTGCCATTGATTTCGTAAAACATTATGAAATAGTCTTGTACTGCCATATTCACGGTTGGGAACAAATAAGTGTCTGCTTTGTGTTGTAGTCTATAACAAAAGATAAGGACAGTTTCAGTAAGTTTGTTTTTGGTACTGAAAAGCTAAGCCAAATTGCTCCTAAAAACCTGTTCTCTGCACTATTAAACTTTTCTAGCTAAATGAATGAAACAGAAAGAAACTGATTTGGTTAGTTTGAATCTATGTTATACAATAAAATGGCTATTCATATACTGTTTTAAATTATGGACATATTTAAAAACTCCACTTGGATTTTAAACATAAATATATATTTAAGTAACTTTTCAAACTAGCTCTTTGAAATAAGGAAAACTAAACATTTTTCTCTTTCAGTGACTGAGGAACCAAATTGAGTTTTAAAACATTCATATATGGACTAATTTCAGTTTGACAGTAAGTGTTTATACCTCTCATGTTTACATTTGGTAAAACAGTAGAGAAAGTGAGTCTGGCAAACTATACTCTGGAGAACCTACACAACACCACACTTAAAATGAGTAGCATGCAAATATAACCCAAATTGTACAGATTGGATATTGACAAATAACTTTGGGGAGTTGAAGGAATGTGTTGTGAGGTTATAAAAAAATTATTAGTCATTGAATTACAGTGTCACATTATTTAGCAAATAAATTTAAAAATTACGAAATTATTTTCTCCTTAACTTAGAGAACTGAACTCGTTAATTATGATTAAGTTTAGTAGATTGTATTTTATATAGTTGGTATTTGAGACAGTGTTCAAGGGCAGCTAGCCCTGTTATTTTTTTTATATAAAATATTAATTTATTTTAAGGGGCATAATTTGATTCATACATAGCTAACTATGAATAAGATGCCATTTTATAGCCAATATTCTCATATAAGCAGAATTGATCAAGGTAACTAGTAAATAATGCTTTATTATCATTTCTCTTATCACAAAATCTTAGTTTTGAAAGGAATCTTTGAAATCATCAAGGACAGCATTTTCTAAAATTTATTTTGTAGGAGACTTGTCCTATAGGCTGTTATCTTCCTTTCTCCTGGTTGATTTTAGATGTGGATTCAGTTTTTCAGGCTGAGAGTCTTAAATCTAGGTATTGCTGAGATGTAAGAGTTAAACCATTTCCAAAAGGCGGATGAGAATGGCTCACAAAAATTATCTATTATCTATTCCCTTTACCTGCATTATTGCATTTAAGTTATTTGTGCTATAAGCTTTTGCCACACCTGTTCCAACATTCAGTCTCTGCTTGCCCAAACTGGTATCCTGGATGCTACCCAGACTGGCTTTAGCTGCTTTGGACATTTCACTTTAATCCTTTGCACAGTTCATGCCTTATATTAATAGCTCCCATCTGGATCCCAGAGTTAATAACTGGTGAGGCTGCTCCTGACTTTCAGGTCTCTGCCAACTTTTCAGGCCTCCTGTGGTCCAACCTGCCACTGCCCCAGGGGTTTGACCCTTTAAATGCTGGAAGTACTAGCATTCATGGTCATTTGTTGAACAAGTATTTATTGAACACCTACTATATGCTAGCTCTAGTGATTGTCAGCTAAATATTCTAATCTCCTGCAGTAGCTCCTCATGTGAGTTAAACAGCCAAAGACTAGAAATGTCCTCCTTTCCATTCTCTATTCCTAATGCTATTCTCTTGGGAAAAAAATACTTGTGTAGACACAGCTTGACCAAGACAGGCTTCATGTTCCTTCAGCTTGATGAAATTTCAGACGAGCTTCTTTCTAACTCTAGGCTCCTGACCTCCCTGTTCTTAGGTATTTACTTCAGAAAACTTGTCATTAGAAATCTGTTCTCTGTCTCTTTGAGATGTAAGTCTTTTAAAAAGCTTCTTGCTAGTTTTAGAACCAGAGCTGTCTTTCTCTGGGACCTGGGAACCATCTCTTTGAAATGTGAGCATCAAGGGAGAGAGACCCCATGTGTCAGCTCCTCTGGAAGGGGTGGGGCCTCACATGGGAGGGTGATTGGCTCCCAGTGGTAAAACTCCGTCCTGTCATGAAGACAGGAGAAAGTTTATTCTCCCTTTACACGAGGTCCATTAGAAAACACAGATAGCCTATTACTTTTTCTTCCCCCCACCCCAGCTCTTAAAAACTCTCCACCCTTATTCTGGGCAGAGCTGGGTATCCGGGTTTGGCCTCTATTCCCTCCACTATTGTTAACAGTACCATTGGAATAAAATCTGTCTTCTTGTCTAGTGTGATTTTCTATTTAAACAGTCTGCAAATATAAGTTCACCAGATTGTTCTCATGAACGGTCTGCTTTTCCTATTCAGACATAGACTTTTATTCTGGAATCAAATGCTTGTTGAGTCTGATCTAGCCCGTGCTCTGTGGCATGGATGCTTTCCTGGGCTTTGGCTGGCTACTGTGGGTGTCTGCTGTGAGGGGCTGACGGGGTAAAAACCAGTAGAGACACCATCTCTGGGATCCCCTCCCCAGCTCTTAGGCCACTTGGAAGCAGAGCTGATGAGTGATTGCTTGAGATGCTCCCAAGTCTGGTGCTTGTTTGGCCGGGGCCAAAATGATTTATTTCAGCTAACTGCCTCGGCAAGTTGGAGCCTGGCAGAATGCTGTGAGTAACATGACCCCTGAACAGACCCTTTGCATTCCCAAAGTTGTTACATGAGGAACGTGGCTGTGGAGGGAAGTCTTTGTCAGCATGACCAGCAGTCTTACCTGCATCAGTGAGAAGAAATGGTTCATTGTTATTCCAGTGGAGTCCTGCAACCAGCTCTCATTAATGATATCCAGACGCTCTTGCTCTGCCTCCTCCTTCCGGGCATCACAAATATCCCACAGGCGGTCTCTTAAGTCCTGGCCAAAAAGAAATATCATCATTATGCTTTAGGGTCACGGCTCATATTATCTCAGTATAGTAAAACCAACATCCTTTGCCTGTCTTAAAAAAAAATGTCCCTAAAGAAAATGCAGACCTAATGCACTCATGTATTGTATTCCTTCATTCAACAGATATTTATTTTGCTTCTACTCTGTGTCTGAAAGGCACCAAATCATATGCCCATGTTTACCACAAACCCACGGCAGTTAACTTCATTCGCAGTGGCTATGTTTTATGTATTCAAACCCTTCCTCAGAAAACACTGCTGCTGCATTAAAATCTATAAATCAAAATCTGTAGCAAGGAAATGGATAGAAATGTAACAGTCATAGGGGTTCTTAACTTGCTTTCAGCAGTTTTTGTAAAATCATGGAAATATAAAAATGTAAAAAAAAGAACAATTGTTTCAATCAGAATTACTTATGACACTTTGAAAACTGAATGGGATATAAGGGCCCATCCTAAACCTAAGGAGTTCAGACATAGGGCCCAAAGCAAAGGCAGGTTTATTTTTTTAAAACTTCGCAAGTTTCTCTGCTATATACTCCTGCTGAAGATCCACTGCTAAAAAGAATTATAATATCATTAATGCAGTTGATTTGGCCAAAACTTATTGAACCTTCCAAATAGAGACCACATGTTATTTTTGATTAGCTATCATATATATATATATATATATGATATATAAATATATCATATATAAATATGATATATAAAAATTCTTATATATATATAAGAAATTTTCATATTTTAGGCAACTGAAAATTAAAAGAACTTAAAATATTTTAAAATTAAATTTAAAAGATTATTTTAAATAAATTAATTTTATAATCTTGGATTAGAGATGTATTTTCTAAATTGACCACAAAAACAAGCAATAAAGAAAAATTTCTACATTTATCTACATAACATTAAAAGATTTCTGCATATTAAAACTCATCTCAAATAATGTAAGGCAAACATCAAACTGATAATATATTTGTAACATTTGACCAACAGATGGTTTATATCTTTAATATATAAGAGATCTTGGAAATCAATAAGGAAAAGAACACAACCCAACATAAAAATGGAAAGAAATCATAAACAGACTGCAGAAAAATGAGAATTAGATGACAAACTTAGGAAAAAAAATGGTGAACTTCAAGTATAAAAATAGAAATGCAAATAACAGAAGATATCCATATTTTTGCCCATTACATTGGCAAAGATCAATAAAAAAGGTAGAACCCAATTTTGATGCACTCTCATAATTTGTTACTTGGAGTGACATTTGCAAGTTTTTAATGTGTTTAAAATTTAAGCATAATTTTAGAAATAGCAATTTCTAGTACTTTTTTAGAAATTTGCCCAAGAAAAGAATTAAGGATGTGGTAAATATTTAGCTGGATGAAATTTTACTGTGTAATTCTCTATAATAAAAAGTTGGTGCTCAACAGATATTTGTTAATGAAATGGTGACTAATAATAGAAATTTGTTAAATATATTATGATACAGTCAATTAATGAAATATCTTTGAGACATAAAAATGATGAGGTAGATGAATAAGAAAACATGTTCTATTGTTGAAAAAGACTGTTAAAAAACAAAATGTATATTACAGTCACATATTTTGCAAAAATAATTGCCCCAAGAATAACAATGGTTAACTAATGACAATAAGATTATGGATTTTCCGTTTTAAAATTTGCTTCTTTTTATTATCTAATTTATCTACAATAAACAGATGATGCATTTGGAATTAGAAAAAAATCCCATATAAGATATTTTTAATTTAAAAACCTTCTCATTCTACCAACAATCAGCTGACTGATATGGGGAAGGAGTTTCGAGGAGGGCTGGCATTCCGAATAAGTAGGAAAAAGACAGAAAAGGCAGATAGTCTTTGGATTTACATAGCTATTAATTACTGTTTGAGAAATGTCTAAGAACAGATAAAATACTTCAATTTTACTAGGACATTTGTTAATCCAATACCTCTTGGGTTAAATCCTCAAGCACCCCACTCACCCAAGTCACCATAATGTCTTCACTTAATTCAGTAGTGTCTCAACTGGTTTCCCAACTGGTCTCCCTGCTGCTTTTACTCTACTAGGGACTGTTTTAAAACCCAGAAGCCAATGCTTCAACTCTCATTTAAAGCAACACCAATGTCCTAACAATGACTTCCCAGGCCTGCGATCATCTAGTCTCCCTGTGATCTCTCTGACCTCATCACCAGACACTCTGGCCCATGCTTACTGTGCTCCAGCCACACCTGCCTCCTTGCTGCTCTTCAAACACACAAGCCTCCTCCCCTTCCAGTGCATTTGCCTTCGTTTTCCCCTGTGACTGATACACTCTTCCCCCCAAGGATCTATCTACATGGTTCACTCAATCACTTCTGTACTGAGTTTGCTCCAGTGTCACCTTCAGTGGGCCTTTCCACAACCACTCTAGAAAGGCAAGTGTTCAAACCATTTCCCTCCTCATCCTCACATGTTCATGAAAGTGAGAAGGGAATTAATGAAGGTTTTGCAGGAAAAGGTTTGAGAGTGTGGAAACCCTGGCCCGCTTGCTCACAGGTTCCCTACATTCACTCTTTGGTGTAGTTCAGCCTTTGTTTCCTCATCATCCCACAAGTCCTCAGGAAGGGAGTTGAAATCAGCCTGCCACTGAGATACAAAATCTTGCTTGTGATCTGGACGCCTTAGAAACTGCTGGAAACTTGTTCTGTAAGGCATAAAGAGAATGAGATACAGCTTACATGTCATGCCTGTAAACTACCAGATTCAAACTTGGGAAACTTTACTTACTTAATCTCATATAAGTAAGCAAGCACGACATGCTGGTCTTCTCTCAGATGCCTGAGTACTGTTTTGACAGAGTTTACATAGGAATTTTCTATGAGTTCCCAGTAAGGCACTAAAAATGAAGGCATTTCCTGTGAAACAGTAAAAACAGTAAAGCATACAAATCATAATTTCGAAGTGAAAATTCTTCCGAATAATTGAGTCAAAAGAGCAATACTAAACAAGATGGTCAAGATACAACTGCAAATACTTAAAACATTCTCTCTGAAACTTCTTGCCCCCCACTTTTTTTTTCTTCTCCTCCTCCAGCTAATTCCTGAAAATATCCATCTCATAAAGCCAGGAAGAGTTGTCTTATTCACCACGTTACAGTTTTTCTTATAATTTCCACAGTGTCTGGGACATAGTGAGCGTTCAAGAAATATTTATGGAATGAATGAATGAACTGGATTGTCACAGATGCCACATTTTGCCTAAGCTGGAAAACTGCCTAGTATGGAGAACACCTAGTGCTCATGTCAGAGTGATAATGGGTTATTTCTCTGAATTCACCCAAGAGATTTTTATCTTTGCTCTGTGTACCATTAAAATTGGAAATTTTTTATGTTATCTTTAATGGGGCAAATAAACAATTAAAAACATGAAATAATCAAAATGAAATAAAACTAAAGATATAATATTCAATATAAACTTGCTGTACTTATATTATTCCCTTATTGGCTATGCATTTATTTACTCAGGGAATCACACATGGGGACCTTAGAGGTAAGCTGGGCTAATTATCTCTCCAATGTAGAAATGCCTAATACTAGAAAGAGTTTAGCCAATCTCTCTGCGGCTCTCACTGATGCATTAAGCACAACAGTCCAAGGCAGCTCCCTCCAATGTCACACAATTCATGGGAAATTCTTCCTTATGTTGAGCAGAAATTTGCCTTCCTGTAGCGTCTGTGTAGCCCTAGCTGTGCCCTTTGGAGAAGGACAGGCTACATTCACACAGTCTTTCCTATGATGGCCTGTCAAATATATGAAGACATTAGTGAGTAGAGGTGGGCTTAGATCCAGGATGAAACTTGCTTGCTTGGGGATGCCCAGCACCTAGTGCAGCATATAACAGGTGCTTAATAGATGTTAACATAGATGTACGTTGACTCCCCTGAACCCAATTTTATCACCAGTTAAATTTTTAGGAGACTAGATGGCTCCATCTAGTTCTAAAAGTCTACGATTCTATCTATGCCCAACCATACTTCAAGTATTTATTCATCTAAATTAAACATTTACAGTTCCTTTAATGATACTCTGGCATGATTTTAACACTGTTTTCTTACCTAGTTTCCCCTTCTGGCTTCTACTTTATTAGTGATCTCTCTTAAAGGATATGGTATCCAGAATGGATACCATTTTAAATAAGTCCACTACTAAACCTCCCACCTGATCGACTTTAATCCATTAATTAGCACTCTGTGCATGAAGGGTTCCCACCTAAGGATGGACCCAACTGAACTAACATCCTGCTCACAGCTCTCACTTATCAACAAGAACTTCATGAGAAATTGTCAAATTCTACTTTGAACCCAAGGTGTACAATGTCTGTGGTGCTTTCCTGACCTGCCTATCCAACCTTGCTATCAAGGAAAAGGAGTGTGCCAGTTCAGTAGGGCTTAGTGATCCCATGTGGGCTCTGGGTGATCATTTTTATATTTCATAAGTGCTCTGAAGTCATGCATTTAATAATTATCTCTCGGATTTTGTCAGGGGTCAATGTATAGATTATTGGTCTGCATGTTACTAAATCCCATCTGTCTTTCATTAAATATTTAGGCATTTTCCTACATGTGGTCTTCAGGAATCTCCCATATCCTCTGTGATTTCTGTGAGTTATTGATAATATTATATTATATTATATAATATGTAATTTTTTCTGGGTCTAGGGACTTGAACTTATGTGATACAACTAGATGTTCAGTTCAGATCCATCCTTTCCAATTAAATAGTATTCTCTTCATTGGAGAAGGCCGAGCATTGTAGGAAATCGGTAGGCAAAGCAGATATTCTCCAAAGCTTCAGGACTAGAAAACAAAGGCTGTCATTTTGTCTGCTTCCTTGGTTCTCTCTGCACCTTCCCTTGTGGCTGGCAATGAAAGAGGAACCAAGATTCTCCTTGAACTTGGCTGTTGCCTCCACCTGAGAGCCAGATATGAAAGCAATCTCTCTCTCTTTCCTTGCACATGCCTATTGAGGTAAGGCAGACCCAGGATCCTTGGAAGGCCTGGAACTAGGGTTACCAGATAAAGTATAAGATGCCCAGTTAAATTCATCAACTATCTGAAATTCGAATTCACCTGGACATCTATCTGTCTTCCCTCTTCCTTTGCAGGTAAGCTGTGCAGCTCATGTGTGAGAAGCTTAGAGTGGAGAAAGGACTAGAACGGATCATGTGGCCTGCCTTGTTTTCAGGCTCTAGGCTACTTCTAATTGTAGCAAAAGGCATTCTCTACATAGTTTTGCTTAGGTAATGACTTCTGTACTGCGTATCTTATTGTCCATCCAGACCTACTTCCTATCCTTTCTTCTCTACCCTGCTCGGTGCCCTGGAAGACTAACTTATGAGAACTACTTCAGGAAACTCCCTTGCCTTCCACCTCCTTGGCAAGAGATACAAGCGCAGAAAGACCATGAGTTTTGGTTATGTGTTTCCCTTTTCCCTTCTGCTGGGTCAATGTAGGTGGCTGGGTACCTCTGCTGAAGGCCACAGCTCCTGTCACATGGCTGTCTCCACACAGAGGTCCTCTTAAAGGTCTTGCATCTGTTCCCTTTCCTTACCTTCTCAGGACTTGGGGCCATAATGGCTCCCAGCCATCCCCCTTTCAGGGGTAATAATTTAATCCTTGTAGGTTCCTTACTTACTGGCCACATGTATGTACATAGTCCTTTATTCAACTCTCCTTAAATTATCATCTGATTTCTGCCAGAACCCTGACTGCTAGAAAATCTACATGGGAGCTGGTGCCATATCTCAGTGTTAATGTTTATTTTTTACTTCTGCCCTCTATTTCCTTTTTGTCCTCTATGATTTTCTTTCTCTCAAGGGCTTCAAGGTTTGGAGTTAAGGATTTCAATATTTTGCCCCTCACTCTGTACCTCTGACAAATAACATCATTTTAATTTTATTTCCTTCCACCAAACCATTTCTATATCCTGCTTTGGTGACAGTTTATAAAATATATTTATTTTTAATAGTAGCTTCTGTTTGGCTGAGTAATATCAGTTACACACATACATAATTAAATAATTTAGTGTTCTCATCTTTACATATTTTCTGTTGTAATTTACCCCCAATGTTCATTCATTTGTAATTTCCTCCCAATGTTCATTCATTCATTCATTCATTCATTCATTCAAGCCTATTAAGAATCTGTTACATCCTCTGCACTGTTTGATTCCGTATTGAATACAGTATATTAATCCACATGTTCCGACCCTCCCCCAAAGTGTTTATAATCTAATTAGGAGACAAGACATTTCCCCAGGGAGCCTTAATAAAAACAGCAACACCACAATCATTGCAATTCATAACTGGGTCTCAAATGTCTGGTACAGATGGTCAGTGCTAAGAGTTAGGACTGCAATGAAGAAGAGAGTAGCTGAGTCTAAAAAAAAAGTAAAAAACTCTTTGTCTTTCAAAAAGTTTTAAAGGAAAGATTATCCTGTGTGTTTTTCCTAAGATGATTTATCTATTAAAGAAACCAGATATGCCTAGGTGGCAACTGGGCTTTGCAGTTGTCAGGGAACAAAGAGCTGGATGGAGCTTCTAGGGCTTACCTGGGGCACCTCCTTGCCTTGTACTTGGGTTCCCGCTGAAAGTTCTCCAGCCAGAGAGCTATCTGTTCTCTTATTATATAGCTAGCTTCAAAAAAAATGTCTTCTATTTCTAAAAAGTCAGGGGTTAATCTTCATTTGAAAGCATTATGATGTGGGCATGAGAACACGGATGGAGGGCGATAATTTGTTGGATATGTGTTCTGGGGGAAGTCATTCTTCCAGGAAACTGCATCTCTACTTGTCCTTGGGGGATAAAATTGGTCCTCACAGAACCCATTTATTCCCTTCATTTCAGCAGTTCAAAGCATGACTCAGAAACTTGAAGGAGTGGAGAAAAGATGAGATGTGGTTCAATGCGTACTCTCAAAAATCATCTCAGTTTTTTGATGAGTATATATTTATATCCAGCTATGAAAGGCCTTCTGGATGTTGCAAATAGTGGTGTGAATCTTACTAGACATAGGAAAAATAATAGATTATACTAGCTTGAATCTAAACTGCCATACCTCGGGAATTGGTTCATTCACATAGACCCATTCTTCCGATCCTGGCTTAGGTGGCGATGGCGCTGTTGGAATAGGTGACGAATCTGTAGATTCAGCAGGTAACTTCTTTACTGGTACTTTCCCTCCTGATTTTCCTTTAGGATAACCTTAAACATGCATATTAAGTCATTCCATTACAAGTAGATGAAGGGGACCATCTGCTTAGGTAGCCAACTAAATCTATGATTGCCTTACACTTTAGGCAGTTCATTAATTACTTTTTAAGCAATTTTGGGCAGCCTTACCAAATCAAAAACCTCATTCTTTATAGCTCGCAAATTACAGCTCCCAAATTAACCAATAATACCAATAACAGCGTTTTTTGTTTTTTGTTTTTTAAAGCAATCCAACTTCTCTCATTCATTTGGCTATGAAAAGCAACTTGATATTTTATTTTCATCTCTGTCCTTGCTTCCACAATGAACGTATGGTGCTTTCAGAGTTTAGAGTCTGGAGCAAAGTGCATTTCATTTACCACTGCAAAAACTGGCAAATGAAACTCTCCACCCTGAACGAGAAAGAGGGTAGCTATACCAGGAGTGGTGTTCTGGGTGTTCCTTGGAATCCAGCAGGGAAGCAGGGAGGAAGGAAGTTATTGTAAGAGTTGCCAGAGTTGGCGAGGGAGGAGGAGGAGAAGGGGTATCATAGTTCCTGGATATACCCACATTCCTGGCGTGAGACACGGGGTTTCTGAGCAGGAAACTGTACCTCTTGATGCAGTCACAGGGTATGGATGAAGGTAATTGCTATGCCATACACCTTGCTGAATTAAGGCATGAGAGAGAAGGAAAGAGGAGGAGAGGAGGGGACAGAGGAAGGGACAGAAAGGAAAAAGAGAGGAAGGAGGAAGAAGAGGAAGAAGAAGAGGGGAAGGAAAAGGAGGGGAGAGAGACCTAATTTCAGTTCAGAATCCAGAAAAGGCACATGCTTCACTTTCGGTGATAGCACCAAGAGAGGAATTTAGACGAGTTAAGTGACACCCTTACGCTCTGAAAGACTTTTTAACTAACCAAAGTACCTTAACTCAGAAAGATCGATATTTCCTTAAAGGATCAAGGCTATTAGAGTCTAGAAATTCATTCTGTTTAAATTCCACTTACCTTCACATTAATTATTCAGATTTTAGATGTGGTTTATAGATGTCTGTAGAATTGGGAGCATGTTCTTTCCCCAAAATACATTTCTTTAATGAGTATTATTTAATAATAATGCTCTTTAGGAAGTAAATATATCTTCTACTTTTATACTAGTTAAAAATATATGGATTATAAGTAGAGGGGGAAATTGTCAATTGTATCTTGTAGGTAGTTTAGGTGACTTCTAACTATACATTTAAAATGGGTGTGTATCATCCACAGGTCTAAAGTTGTATCTAGATTTTTTTTTTAATTTAGAAAAATTTAAGAAAATCCTTGTTCAGTGAATAACCAAAATGTTCATATATATTTTTCTATGATGACTTTTCATCCTTTGACCTGAATCTCTGCTGAAATAAAAGTGATAACACTATGGCCATTTTAAGATAAATTTCTCTAAGAATTCCTAAGAAGATGAACTTTGTAATTAGAAATATGAAACTGGAATGGGTTTCTTTTTCTTTTTTGCCTATCTCAACTATTATTAAACACTATAGAATTTTAGTAAATAATTGCAAAAATTTTTGAAAGTCCTTGGGAGTTACTTAAAGTGAGCTAACTACATGGCTCCAGTATATATATTTTACTGGTTGAACTTGTATATGCTCATGGTTCACTTGGGGTGTATATCCTTTTAACCAAGGATGCTCTTAAAGCATAGGTATACTTAATTTCTATTTTTGATGATTCTATGGTGAGCCTTCATTTATTTTTGTTGATCACAATGAGAAACAAGGGATGAGTAATGTAAGTGTGAAAATTATTTTCCTATTAGTAAATAGGTGACAGCTGAGCATAAATTGTAGCCTTTAACCTTTTAGCAAAAATTTTTATCTCATTGTTAACTCACCAAATGGCCAGTTATATAAGCCCATCACATCGTATAATCAGAGAAGGGTGGGATTCCTTTAGAAAATCATGATTATGAATCTTAGATGCCAAAAATAAAGATATTTTTTAGCACATCATTTTGTGAGCATTTCATACTCTTGGGTACCAACTACATTGGTTATTTGTAATGAAAAGTTAAACAGTTACACAATCCATGACAACCCATTTGAGCGTACTTCGGAAAATGTTAACTGTCTGTATCCATAACTGCATTTCAATAATTAATTGGTTGTTATTGCCGCTTCAACTAATATGCTTTTAGAGGCTGGAATTTTCTTCTACCAACTGTCAATTACTTTAAAAAACTATATCCCCTTTATTTCACAGAAATAGTAAAATAAACTAAAAAGGATTAAATGAAATTAGGGTCAGGAAAAATATAACTTAAAGTAGAAGGTGAAAACCAGGAAAGGAATTAAAAGGCAGATAGTGAAATCTAAGTCCTTGCACAGGATATTAAATGTGAGCCACTAATTTGGTTCTGAACTTCTAGACAGCCAAAATAGAAAAGAAAATGCTATCATTTAGCTAATTATCTAACCACTTAGAGGAAGAAAGATTTTCCTGTCCTCTGATTCTGAATGAAATTTCTCACCTACAATTTCATATAGGGGCCATTGAATGATGTAGTGGGCATATTATCCCTTCAGAAAAATATAACACCAGGTTATTATTGGTATCATGAAAGTTTCACTTCCACTGCTGTGTTATGTCATAGAGGCAGTTGAGGACTTTATGCCAAAGTACTTATCAATAAAAGCAGTTCCATTGGGGGCCCAAGAAATATGATTCAGTATGTAGCTTTTTATTGGCATAGCTTAGCCCAAGGATAACGCCTATAATATCTATGATGAAGGGATAGTCTGTATTAGATATTCTCTAAATTATTCTTTACAAGCATCACTTTTCTCTTCAGGACCTTTGCTAAGAGCCAGGCTGCAGAAACACTGAGGTTATATTCTTTGGTAGGGCCTTATGGTTTACAAATGCCCGAGAGAAATATTTAGTGTATACTACTATACAAATCTAGCTTTTCACTGAGACAGTCAGAAAATGCAGAATTATATATTACCATATCTACCTTTGTCTGTTGTACCTTTACTTTTGAGTGAAGTTTCACCTTTCTTCCCTTTTCCTTCCTGAAGAGATTCTGGCTTACCATATGGGGATTCTAAACAAAATTCAACACATATATCATTGATGACTTTCTTCAGTTGGCTGGGCTATATGATTTCGTAAGCAATCAAATGTTATTTCTCACAGTTAAACAGTTACATTTGTGAACCACGTAAAATGTCTCAGGCCTTTACGGTGAGTTACTATTCATTTGAAGACAGATTATGGTTTGAAACTTCTTGAATGATGGCCTTGATAGTAGTATACTATTCTATTCTGTCACACTAAGTTTAAAGTCAACATTTCATAGCGGATTTGGTTGTAAACCCAAGACCATTTAAAGCATATGGCTCTATTTGGATTTATCTCAACTGAATGATCCTTGTACAATATGATGACTGGAACTGTAATAAGAATGATGCCATAACACCTTGAAGAAGAGTTAAATAATCACATTGTTTTGATATTGTGCATCCTTGAAATTCTCTTGACTACATACTCAGTTTCCTTGTGATTCCTACATTATCCATTTTTCATCGACTTTAACTTATAATGCAAAGGATAGATTGGGTATATTTATCTAGGATTCCCTGTATCTAGTTCAAAATATATTTGAAGGGTGATAATGGGAAACTGATAATCAGAGGTCAACAAAATGTCCCAAATACTAAATCAGCTTCTTGAAAAAGTTTGCTACATTCTGCATTATTCACTAAACAAGTTCAATCATTTCCCTCCCTTTGTCCTGAGCTACAGTATTTTTCCTCAGTAGAAGGATGAATATATGAGGCAATTTAAATGCCTGTGATGAAGACATCCCCATCTGAACTATTCTTTGTATTTAGAAGTGATAGTTATAAGAACGTGTAAATGCGGAGCGCATATTACTTACATTTAAGTATTGCAGATCTGACAACAAAGATTCCATAGAAATAAGACAAGTGCAAGACATAGAGAATGATTAACCTTGAAACTTTAACTTTTATAGAAGAACTTTTAAACATCCAAATAGTTGACCACCAAACTCATAAGCAAACAAACAAACAAATATCCAGACATCTGAATCCATTATTTTTAAGAAATAAGCTTCATAGTAGTAATAGTAAAAGTCTAGATAAATGCCTAGTTCCTTTAATAACAATACTCTGGCTAACTAACTATTTAACTAGTTCTAAATTTAAGCATGAGGCAACAGAGGAAGGTAAAAACAGAGATATCTAAGGCACTGAACGAAAGAATTTTGGGCAAGTCTAATTTCTGCTAGAGGAACCATGCACTCTACCCACTTATTTTTCAATCAGTTGGATAATACGTTCTGAAATCTCAAAAAAACATTCTTAAATAGCAGCATGGATAGTACTATTGTATTTTATCACATTAAGAATTTTTATTTTAAATTAAATTCTGACATTTCGTAGTAGATTTGATAATAAACTCTTTAATAGAATGTAACTGTGATGTTTTTTAAATTTAATCCCAAGTGTATTTGAAGCATGTACAATGAGAAGCTATATTTGGACAGAATGACTGTTAGTACTCAGTGGACTATGCCTCCGTTTTTACCCCATTTCCACCCTCATTTTTTTAGTAAATGATTGCTCTTTTCCTTTCATCTCGACTTCTAAAATAGATTGTAATTGGGTATTTGAATTGGGTTTGTTCAGGGGCCTCAGGCTTTCAGTTCTGAAATGTTCTCTTTTGAAAAATGTGTAAATTACTTATATAAAAAGGAACAAACCTACTGGACACTTCCCTCCCTAAAATCCCTTAAGCAAGCCTCCTGAAGCCGTTAAGAGCAGCACTGTTTTTTTCTAATGCCCCATCAATACCCCAAAGCACTGAGATCTCCTTCCCACACGCACAGTTGTTGGAAAGCAGTAATTAGGCCTCTGGAGATGAAAGATGAGGCACTAGCCCTGACCTTGGTGGAAAACAAAAGACAGATACAACCACTCTTTGAAGCAACAACAGCTTTATTATTCCTCCAGTGCACAGTACTCAAGAATACAATTTTAAGTTTACAAGAAAACTTCAGAAACTTAAAGGCTGAACTGTGTTATAACTAGAAACACCAGGAATTGGTTTGAGGGATGGCTTGGGGACACACATACTCCGGACTGTGCGAGGCCCAGGGCGAGAGCGGGGAAGGGGAAGGGGAGGCCGCAGCTGAAAGGCCTGTACGGGTGGCAACTGCAGGCTCACTTGAGCGGCTGTGAAAACTGTTTTCCCCAGTCCTAAAGGGCATTTTAAAGATTTCCAATTTTCCTTCAGACCTCTGAACTGTTTTTGTTTTTGTTTTTTTTTAATTCCTGTGAGGTAGTGGGCAAGAGTGTATGTTTAATTCGTGGCTTTGTGTTTTATTGTTCATGTGATAAAAAATGTTTTTTAGAGTTTGTGTATTTTGCCTTTTAGTTAAGCCCCCACTTTACTGGAATACAATGGTCTTTCATAGACCATAATATATATTATTAAAGTCTTGAGATTTATTTTTTGATATAAATAAATAAGTCACAAAATATTCAGACCCATCTCAAATCTCCACGAAGCAGAAAGGTTATGGCATTTAGAAATATAATCATGACAATATCAAGGATGCTTAGGCAGACTTGTGTCACTGCGTAGCCAGCCGCTTATAAAGCTGAAATAAGAAACTAGGGCCACATTTGTTCATATACACAGCATCAAACCTGATACTGACATTCTACCATTATTATGCACTTGACTTTTGTCATTATTTTCATTGTCTACCACTTGACTTAATGGTCCTTAGTGGTTAAGGGTCTAGAAAAAAAAAAAACTTAAGCTAAAAGTTATTCTCTGTACCAGGTCTTTATCCATACATATTACATATTATAAATATATAAGTTTACTGAGATGTTAGGTACTTGTTTCTATCCTTGTATAATCACATAGCACTGAAGATTAAGTTACATATAAATTCTACCCTCTAATAAGTGCTGTTGATTTGTTCCCTTATTCTTGCGGACAACTGACCATGCCAATTCTCATTTTCTTAGAATGTTCTCATTCTACATAAAACTCTGCAGTTCAGCAAACAGTGGTCTGTCCTCTTGACCTGCTCTAAGTTTCTTCAGGTTATTCTCTGTGCCTTTCCTCTTCTCATTTGTGGTCTTATTCTAATCAGGAAATCTGGTTGTGAGAACTTCACAGTCTCCCCTACACAGCGAAGTACCTGGGCTTTGTGACAACCACACTCTTAGTTCCTAAGGGCCTTCGCACTTCCATCTGAGCGTATAGCCTGGTTTCACAGGATTGAAGTTGCTCAAAGTCTGAATCTAGATAAACGAACTGGTACTATAATTTGCAATGGTTTTTCTAAGCGAAAATAAGAAACTGACAAACAAGATTATAAATTACTCTGTCAATCACCTGATGGTGGTTTTCCTTTTGCGGGAGGACTTTTTGTATGCTCATGGTGAGGATGGGTTTCCTTCTCTTTCTCTGGTTCAGGAGGAGGAGGGGGCGGAGAGGACTGTATAGAGTCAGCCAGGGAAACTTCTTCTTTTTTCTCAGCTTCCTTTTCTTCTAATTTCTTTTTAACTTCAAAAGGATGATAAGAATGGATATTTTTATTAGGGATTCCAGACACCCACTATTTCATTTGAACTAAAATAAACTACCTAAATTAATATAAATTGTCTTTACTATAATTTAAGGCTAAATTCATGTTTTAGGTTTCTCCCCTAAGTTACCTAGTCCTTAAGGTTTTAAGCCACTCTGATTGGTAAGAAATACCATTTCCCTCGCTTCTGATGATGCTGGTGGTAGTGATGGGGATGGGGATGGTGTGCGTGTGAGTGTGTGTGTGTGTGTGTGTGTGTGTGTGTGTGTGTGTAGCAGGTAGACAGGCTTGTCGACGGGGTGCCAAATGTAAAAGCAGCAATCTAGAAGTAGCTAATGGTGGAATAGGAAAATAAAAGATTATTTCAAAATTTCCAATGGAAAAACAAGATGAAAAAAAGTGTAAAGAGAAGATAAAGAACAATGTGATAGAAGAGGTGGAGGTGGGGCAGACATGGAAGGGGAAAGAAATGTGCAGACCAACTTCTATGAGTAATTACATGGAAAGCACTTAGAATAGTACATAGTACTCAATCAATTGCGATTCATTCATTCGTGTCACTACTGTTTATTGAATGTGAATTGTGCCTCGAAAGAAAGGAAGGGCTGTAACAATCAGGTAAAACTCCTACTGCTACTACCACCACTAATAAGAGTACAAACCACCGTAGGCACAGTTCTGGTTGCCAGAGATACAACAGTAAAACAAAAGAGGAAAGTCACTGCCTTGTGAAGCCTACAGCCAGTGGCAGCCGACAAACCACAGACTTGATGATAAGTTAACTTATATGAGAGGTTGAAGGTGATAAGTGCTATGGAGAAAATAAATAGAAGAGGGTACAGGGGAATCAGGAGTGCTGTGGGGTGGCTGTTTAAGTTTTACATATAATGCTGAGCAGGGAAGGCCCACTGAGCAAGTGCTATTTGAGCGAAGGCTTGAAGAGAGTTAGGGAGGGGGTGGGCCTTGGGGGTGTCTGATGGGAGAGTGTTCCAGGCATAGGAGACAGTCGGCCCAGGGCCTTGAGGGGCAGAGCACTGTTTGTGTTTTTCCAAGGCTCCTGTTATTGTTAGAGTCCCTTTGCCTTTCCTGATTCAAGTTCACCCTTCCTAGCACACTGTCCCTGCCCTCCCTGGCTTTCAAGCCTTCCAATGGAAACTTTACTGACTGAACCATTGGCAATGAACCCTTACACGCTTTTGTGGCTATTTCCTTTTATACATATTCCTTTTGCTTTTAAATCATTCTTTTCAGTGCAGCAATCAAGGAGGCTTCGTTCTATTAGATGTTTTCTCAAAGTGGAAATTACCTTTTTTTCTGATTATAAAGTAATATACAATTATTGTTTTAAAAAATCCAACAATTTAGACAAATAAATAGAATGGGAAATTGTCAAGTCTCTTTGCCTGTCTTCCCCCACTATTAGGTATTGCATGTACCGTCAGACTCTTTCCTGTGCTTATGTATTTAACACATGGACATACTTTTAAAAACAAAAAAACGAAACTATTTTATATATAACCTGCTTTTTCCTACTTAACAGTATATTGCAGTCATTTATTCTTTCACATCAGAATATATGTATCACATCCTTTTATTTTTTAACTTAATCAGGCTGTTTAATACAGAGTACTGGACTAGGAAAATGTTTATTGTTTCAATGCTAAAATATTTGGGAAAGTAATTAACTGATTGGAATGTAAATTTTACGTAAGCAGCAATTGAGTCTATTAATGTAATCAGTGATCAGAATATAAAATCTTTAGGAACATGTGGAAGTGAGTCTGATAGCTGGGTGAAACGAATTGATTCTAACTTGTAGATGTTAAAAGCTACAGCTTAGGACCAATTTGGTCTTGCCTTCCATCCAAGACTCTAGGATTGCTGTGGGAGGTTCCCTCTTCCTCTCAGCCTAATTTCTGACTGTCAAATAACATGGTAACCCTCTCAAATCATATATGGATTGGTTTTCATTTTGTCTGAAAGCTTCACATGGGTGTTTCTGGACAGTAGACAGTTAGATGCAGGAGCTTATCTTCGTAAGTGTGAACTCCTGGATCCCCATGGTGATTGTGGCTTATACCTATGAGCTATTTTTGGTACCAGTTAACTGGTACATTGTGGCAGTTAGGTCACAAATCTAGTGATGGGAGACAGCTTGTTATGAAGGCAATTTTAGAATCCTTGTGATCTTATCTTTGGCCATTTTTTTTATTGTACCAAGAAAACTCAGTTGCCAATATAATTAGGGGCAACTGATAAACAAAGGGAAAGATTTATTTCTCAAATTATTTCTCAAAAGCAAAATTATAATTGAAGTCTGGCATTGGCAGTGTATGAGCTTCAGATCCCTTTCAATAATAAATTACAATAATACTATGAAAAGTTAATAGGTAATTACTATTGGTTAGATGAAAGAAGGGGGTCAGGATGGTTTAATTTGAGAAAGATATATCCCAGAAACAGGCTTATAAATAAGTACTTAATAATCAGTAAATTCACACCAACACAGGAAGATCAGGGGAAATCAACTGCCTAGTGTTTTCATCCTAAAAAGAGAATTCACTCACTATTTTCCTTATAAGGCTGAAATTAGGAAATTAAAATCTTTACCCTTCTCTATAACATTCTTAATTTAACTCTGCTATTTTTTTTACATGAAAACAATGCTTTCAGCTAGATGGCCTCTTTTGATTAAATTAAATTAAAACAAAGAGAAAAATCTTTTATTTGGAAACATTTGCAGCAGAAATGTAAAATTAGAAGTAGAAGACAGCTGTAGATTGTATAATCCAAATAGAAGAGAGAGCTTTGCAATCACTTTCACTTCCTCCTAAATTCATTAAAACCACACATTTTTAGTTACATAAGCTCAAAATGATAAAGAAATGTAATTACCTTTGTTCTCTTTTTTTATCATCTCAGTCATAAACATTTCTTTTACTTTTTGGCATAAAGACTCTTTATCTACTTCAGCATTGATTTGCATCAAAATATCTTTTGGTTTTGTAAACCATTGTTCCAGTAAAGGCCAGTTGTCCAAGAAACCTGTAATCCTACAAAATCAAAATATGATGTGAATATCACATACTGATTGACATATTTGAGTAATATTAAACATGATTTACCTGACATAATGAAAATATAAGCTGCCAATATAGTTAAATCTGATTGAGCAACTTTAAGAAATCTACAGGTAATAGAAGAGTATTCACTTTAAAGAAGAAATTATTTAATGCCATCAAACCATACATTTTGAGATATATGAAAGAATAAAATAAGATTTGAAAATGGCATCATTTCAGAAAACCTTTAGTGTAGGTTCAGTTGTCTAAGTGGAAATCTAAGGAAACATCACCTGCACTCATTGTACTATAGAATAACAGAACAATTTTGATGGCAGCTACAGCCTGAGGCACCTAGGTCATCTAGTTTTTTCTTAGAGATAGAAATTGAAGAGATATTTGAGGAAGTGTAGATGGTTCAGACTTACTTGCTTTACTCAGACACATTCTTGAGATGATTCTTGAAACTTTCCTGTCTTCCCAGAGAGAGAACAGGCTTAATGTAGCTCAAATTACTCTTCCCTGGCTCACTTCATATATTTAGATTGCTCAAGGCTTCATAAAATTGTCTAAATTTTCTTTTCCAATGAGAAAATTGCACACAACCAAAATAATAGTTTTCCTTTTTTAAGCTTAAGTTCATTTTGGCAAAACAGAAGTGTTTTTAGAAGTCGTTTAGAACTACTTTCTCTGTAGTCTGATGTCTAGCTGTTTGACTGTCAAGTAATGTGTTAAGCCTCTTAAATAATATATGGATTGGTTTTTATTTTGTCTGAAAGCTTCAAATTCCAGAATCTTCACTGGCATTTGTTGAATGAGGACTGAATTAGAATTCCATATTATGAACCTGTAAATTTATGTAACCATAGAGGGAAGTGTTGCCTGATTTAATTCTTTTTCCCCCCAACTATGATGACTTGTGCTCTGAATATGAAAGAAAGCAAGTACATAAATATTTCACTTAACATCAAAGCTACCTATCTTTGTTTTACCTGTAAAAGACTGAATGCTAGGAAATATATCTTTTCCCTCGTTATTCCAAAGTGGCTAATTGTTAGTCCATTCAAAAGATAAGAAACAAGAAGCAGGACATGGAATTTTAAACTAACCTATGCTGGATTTGGTCTCTTATATTCTGGTTCTCATCCATGTCTGGGTTTTTAGCAGCTACACGTTGATTGATAGCTTTATGATGAGTCTCAGTTGAAAATGCTTCAGCTATGATATGAAAATTATTTAATTAGATAACTTGCAAAAGCAGTCAAAGTTGCAGAAGTACTGTTAAAATGTACTGACACAAGATAGTCAAACAGACATGGTCCTGCCTTTGGTCCAAAATTACTTAAAATGTTTATTAAGATGTTGAAAGAGTGTAGTTTTGAGATCAGAATTTATATTTTCCTTGGAAACTGGAAAAAAAATGAGGTAAAATACAACATTAAATAGGAGTTGTAGTTTCAATGTAAAGGATCTCAGGATTAAGTATGAAAAGATGAGAATAATAACAAATTAGCAAAATGATATCATGAATAACAAATTAGCAAACAACTAGAAAATCACCAACCTGATGTAAAAATTAAGAATGAAATAATGGGCAGACCTAAAGTCAAATATGCATAAAATTATTTATTGATATTATATTACAATAAAATAATTTATCTTTTTTTCTAGACTTTATGATCTTTCCCTGTAGAATAAATATAAAGGAGTAGACCACAAGAGACTGAAAACAGTCTCAACAGCTCTCATTGAGTCTTATTCAAGATTAATAGTACAATGTTCAGAATACTCATGAATTTAGAATAAACGGAAAACCATAAAGAGGAAAAAAAAAGCCTTGAACTAGATTAAAATAAGTTAGAATTACTCAGTCAATGCAAAAGAACATTGAAGAGTGAATCAAAAGTGTTCAAGAACATGAAGGGCCCTCACAGCATACAGCAATCAGTTGTTCTCCATCTACATTCACAACAGAAAAAGATGAAATGGATTCCAAATACAGCATAATGCTCTTAGGTTATTTATAAAACTCAAAGATTACTGACATCAGTAATGGGTGATTGAAGGAAATTGTGGGAGCTCTTCTCAGGAGATACTGCCATGCACCATCTCATGATCACTTTCTCATATTTGCCAAGAACTTCAGCACACAAGTCAGCATTCCTCTCTCCGCAACCCCACCCAGGCATTGGTCCCTTCCCCTCCTCTCCAGTTCTGGAACTTACTACCATGGCCACATCCTGGATTTTGTGGTCACCTTGAACGGCTCCATCTCTGCAATCTTAATGACTTATACTCCTATTATTTGTCTGTCCAGCACTCCCATAGAGCCAATGAATCTCTCCATTATTTAATCCCTAAACATCCTTTTCCCCTGAGTTACCAGCATTATCCTGACTTCCCTTTATTTTATAGCAAACCCAAGTTGCATGGTCGAATACTTCTGCTTCTCTCCCTCATTTAATAATTCAGTTTCTGTGTTTTTCTGCTACACAAGCCTTAGACGATATTCATGTCTCTTTCTAAGACTTAACACTTATGCTGGTAAACATCTTTAAAGAAAAACACACAATCCTGTGACTTGTAACCTTACTAATTCCCTGGCTTAAAATTCAGCTGAGCTCTTTCACATAAATGCATGTTTTGCTCAAATAAATAGAGAGGAAGAAGGGAGGAATGAAAGAAAGAAAGAAAGAAAGAAAGAAAGAAAGAAAGAAAGAAAGAAAGAAAGAAAGAAAGAAAGAAAGAAAGAA